CTGTGTAGACTTGCCCACTCTATTCAAAGCAGCCCAAACCCCAAAAGTAGGAATTTGAATACTGATGACACAGTGGGAGTGTGTTAAAAAGTAAGAGTGAAGCCTGTGTTATTGGAAAGAAGCAATGCAGATGTTTGATGTGTGTGTGTCAGGGTGTGTTTTATCAAGTTAGATGGCAGAGAGTGGTTTGGATGGGTTGAAGTCATTTCCCATGCCTTTATGTTATAGACTGGCTCCCCACTCGGTACATGTGTATAATACTTAGTGAGTGCAAGATATGGTTCTCAAAGGCATTGTTATGGTTTGGACTTACGTGAAGACAAAACGTTCTCTGAATGTAAGGTAGAGGTAGGGGGTCTCATCTTGAGAAAAAGTTCGTGGTGTCAGCCACCACAGACCTACCGCTACCCGGTGGTTCAGGTTTCCATGACTGAAGCCCACTTTTCTTCACTAGTGCCTCTTGCTTGGTTAGCAAAGCCTGTGTGGGAATAGTCTTGAGCATCATGACTCCCCCTGGACAACCAGGGGCTGTTGTGTTTTCTTCCAAGATGATGCAGGGTGGGTCTAGTTAGGATGCTGGGTAAATAATAAATGAGTTTTGGCAACCCAAACAGTTGTGGCATTTCACAACTTGAAATCTTGGTGGGATTTCAAGATATATGAGTTCTATTTTTGATTTTCTAATTTATCCTCTGTCTCTGAAGTTCAAGACAATCACTTAAAACAGATCATAAATGTTAAAATAGAGCAATATAAAGAAAAAAAGTTGAACATTTCCACATGCTTACAGTGGAAATATCCTTGTTTCTTTATACATTCTAAATTTTTCTACAATAAAAGATATCATCAACAGCAAAAACTGCAAGGAAAACCAAGCAAAACGTTTCCCAAATGATATCTTTTCCTTCATCTGTAGCCATAGATGTGGCCCAAGTGGTGACCAGAACCATGGATCTGAAGTGGACTCATCTGAGGCCCAGTGATCCACTTTAATGATGCATTAGTTAAGGAGTTTAGTTGGTCCAGATGTGAGTCAGTTTTAGTCAACCTTTCTCTATGAGAAAATTATTAGTAGCACATGTATGTCTAAGCAGGCTCAAATCTCAGATAACAGTGCAAGATTTGAAATGAGGGACAGTAATACCTACACATGGTAGATGTCCAAGAAATGCCAGTCTCTCTTCTGCATTTATGCATCTTAATGAGAACATATGCAAAGGGCTTCGGTATTACTGTTCACCATGAATGTTATTATTGAACATGAGTTCCTTGTTCATTTACTGAAGTTCAGTTTTTGGAACTACTCCAGTTTTAGATCTGTGTGGTTATATTGGCTCTCCTATTGTTGCGTATGTGCAAATAGCTAACACCCTAACACCCTGGAAACATCCCCTCTTTCACAGATGATACCCCAGTGACCTCAATAACAAAGCCCATTAACCCAGATACTTTTACACAGATCCCAGACTTCAGTAGTATAGATAAGGCAACGGGAAGAGCATGGTTTGTTCCCAAATGATCACCTCAGCAGCTCTGGTAAAGCTGGAAGTCCTTAATGGTCAGGAGCACCACTAAAGCTGTTTAAAGTGACATTAGCGTATCAGAGAAAGTTCTGGAGTGCATCGCCTGCCCAGGTCCCAGGCCAGCTTCCCGTTTCCACACACATGGCCTGTTCTCCACTTGCTGGTGGGACTAGTGATGAGTATCACTGACTTTCTCTTTCACTTTTAATTGGTTGTAACTCATTTGCCTTTGGGATGATTGGAACTCTTCTTATTCTCATATGGAGCCCCTAACTCTCAGTGAGGATAAAATGACATGGCATATATAGGCATTACTAATTTCTCTTTATGTACCTTTTACTGTTTCTGTTATGCACTAATCATGGAGGCTAAATTCACTTAACTCATAGGGGACTTGGTAATTAGATAGTTGGAATTTATCATCAACAATGGTAAGCCTTTCCTGGACTACTACCATCTATCGGACACTATAATTTTCACTGGTGATTCAAAGACATGCTGGTATCAGATCCCACCATGAGTATGTTTTAATGCATACTCACCTTGGTGAATACTCTAGTTCCTAATGTAGTCAAGTCCCAGCTCTCCTTATGAACTCGGCGTCTGGGTCAAACCTATTAACTTTTATGATTCTTAGTTCTTATCTATAAAATAGGGATCGTCACATTTCCATGGGCTTTATGCTGGGGGCAAATAAAATAATATATATGAGAGAGCTTTGAAAATCATACAGATATGAAATTACTGTTACTCTTACTAGACAAGGAAGATCTGTCATACACAAATGACAACTAGTTAAAAGAACATATTGCCAAACTACACTTATCTTTAAGCCAAGTCTACAGGCCATTCAGACATCTCTAGTAGTGATTTTGCAACATTTAAGTGGTGGCTGACAAATATGAAAACTTGATTGATGCTATGATGAAGGAAGCATAATGCCTGGCACATAGTAGGAGTCTAATAACTATTTGTAAATTGAATAGAATTGAATCTTAAAGAATAGTACGAGGTAGATAGGTTAACAGTGCAGTGGATGCACATTCCAAGCAGAGGGTACAGCAGCAAAAATATTTGAGGCATGGGAGAAATTTTAGGAAGTTCTAAAGAACACAACCGTGGGAACTGATCAGGCTGAAGAAAGAGACAAGAACCAGGTGAGGAAAGGTACTGTGTGCTATGCTGGAGTCTTTTTTTTTTTCTGAAGGCAAAGGCAAACGTTGGAAAGGTTTTAAACAAAAGAGAAATATGTTGATATTGGCCTTTTAGATTAGAACGACTACTCTGGGGGCAGATGTATGATGGGCCGAGAGACCAGGAGGAGCAGACCATAGAGACCCAGGTGAGAGGCAGTGGGAGATGGAGGTCAGGAGACAGATTCAAAGGGAATAACCAAGGCAGAATTGCCAGGACTTTAGGTGACTTGGGGTGTGTCTGTGTGTGTGTGTGTGTGTGTGTGTGTGTGTGTGTGTGTGTGTAGGCGTGGGGAGGACTCCCAGACTTCTGCTGTGGATGGCTAATGCATGGAGCCATTAACAAGAATAAAGCAAATGGCAGGAGAAAGGCCCTCAAGAAGAGGGTAAATTATGTTCATGAACTGCTTTCAGAAGACATGGCAATATTTCATATGTTTTAGAAAGATTTTCGTCCAATACACCTCCTTAGGTGTCAACTTCTTCCTTTGACATGGCTTTCCGTAGCGTATAGTAGATGAGAAAAATGGGTGCCGTTTGGCTGGACTCCCTTCAAAGGGCAGAACAACAGATAAGGAGCCCAGCCCTGTGTTTGTTAATGAGAAATCGGTTTTCCTGACGAGCGGTGACAGGCTGCTTCTGAACTCTTTCCAACCATAGATTTTTTATTAAACTCATCAACCCGTTACACTTGCCACTGAATATATTGTGTGTATGTGGTTGGTTTAGTAGAAAATTATTGTCAGAACAGTTTTTGGAATCATTTAAAACAGATGCTGGTGATTGTCCTCTAAGCCTTGGCTATTCCTGCTTATTTCATTTTCTGTTTTGAAGTTGGCCTCAGAACTGCTTTTCATCATTTTAATTTTGAAATTTATTTTATTTGTGAAATATTATAGTACAAGAAACGTGTGATGATTTTAATTTCTGGAGAAATATTAATGGTTTTGGCACTACGAATATGAGTTTCTCGTAGGCAAAGGCTCTGTTTATTTCTGAGTCCCCAGCACAGAGAATGTTCTGGCACATGTGAAATGCTTAGCAGATATTTGTGGAATACGGGATGATTGCATCTGAATGAAGGCTGTCTTTAAAAAGAAGATATTTTAGAGTTGCCTGAGTCAAACATATTTCATAATAATAGGCACAATCACAGGCGGGACCTTCGCCCAGCATATTTTTAGAGTATTTTATATGGAAAGAAAGCTTAAAAATGACTTTCTTTTGTTTTTTTGTCACCCACGAGGGCAGAGGCATCACCATTTTTTTGCTCCTCTTAAAGTCAGTCTTGGAGCTTCCTGGCCACTTTGTTTGCCCAAGTATAGCACACGTGCACTCAGACTTTTGGGTCTGTTGCTTGTCCCAAAGCACTTTTATCAATCATAACATGAAGTTGATACACAGATCTCCATGTAGCATGAGAAATGTTTGCTAAAGGTCACTAAAAGTATGGAGATTGTGATTCTAAATATTATTATTATATTTTACTGGCATTTTTGGCGAGATGCTCCTATGTTTTGAATTAGTAAACTATATAACAACATTAACTCACCCCTCCTACTCACATTAAATTTCAGGTAGGACCATAATTGAAGTGCGTCAATTTTCCAGAGTATGTGATTACAGACATTCCCTAAGAGCAGCAGAGCACTGCTTTCCCAGTAGAACTCTCTACAACACCTGGCTCACAGCTGGGTGTCAGTAGCAGACCACGGTGGCTCTGGGTTTTGTCTGCCCACTGTCATGTCTCATCTTCTGTCTTCTGGTTCTTATGGCGCCTCCGCTTTCATTCCTTGTGGTCTTATGGGGTTGTCCTCAAGAGACCCCACGGCCTCACCTCAGGGCCTGTGACGGTGAATGGCCGATTTAAATGCACCATTCCCCAGCACCAGCGCTTAGTTTAGAGACAGACACGTGACTCCACTCCCTGGGGTTGTGGTTAGAGAATCCCTCTGAGAAGGAAGGCAAGCAGGACAGGCTGGTGATGTCTTTGAAACCACTGTATCCAGCTGTTCTTGAGCTCCACAATAGGACTTCCCAGTTAAGTCAAACAACATAGTATCTTTTTGTTTAGGTAAGTTTGAGTTGAATTTCTATATCTTGCAACCAAAGGAGTCCCAGTGAGTATAGTAGTTTCATTTGAAAAGTTAAAATAATCATGATATTAACCGGTCTGTCTTGAACCCCTTCCTTTTCTTAACATTCGGGGTTATAATGTATGCTTACTTAAATGTTTACAATTTAAATGACACATCTGAGTGCGAGACACACTTAGCCTGTAAGCTCATGTCAAACAATTCTTTATTTTTTATGCTACAAATTAAAAGTGACAGATCTGAAGCTGTTAAGAAATACACAAAGTGCAGCTTTACTGACCATACAGATATTGCTCTAGATAAAGTACAGTTACTTTTTTTTTTTTTTTTAACATTAAGCAACCTGTGCAGATAAATCAGCTTTGGTTTCAATGTCAGAGCAAGTAAGGAGCTTTGAAATATCCAGTTTGGCTTCTTGGTCACAAGTCTATCATGTCAACTTCTTGTCATGATGATTTTTCCAAAACAACCCAGTCTGTTTTCCTGCCCCCCTTCCTGCTGCCTCCTCCAAGCATGGAGAAAGCAGATCTCTTTGTGGTGCCTCATAAGTGACCCTGGTGACCAGTCTAGATCATAGCACATAGGACAAGAAAAAAAAATCACTTTCTTAATAACAAATAAACAAATGTGCCTCACATAATTTCAAGTTGAAGACAAGCAAATCACATGACAAAAAGCTCATTACAAAATGTTATCCAAACAGATTTTACAGTCAAACATTGACATGAAAATCAATTTCCTTTTCTCCTTTTTTTTTTTTTTAAGCTTGGTCATTAACTGGGTACAAGTAGAGTGCTGAGGTAAAACACTGATGAACAGTTTGTATTTCTTTTTTTTTCTTAAAATAGGAACAGTTTAGTATTGCGAGATTGTCAGCAACATTTAGCCATATCTATACAATGTGCATATACCTACAAATATTGAACTTTGGTCCAGCGTAGAGAAACGAGCAAAGGCATTTTACGATTTCTTTTTGGTTATAGCTTGAGTTCTTTGATACGCCTCTACTTGTTTTTTTTTTTTTTCTTTTCTAGCTCCTTTTGCTTTTTTGTTCTCTCTTTTGTGTTGTGTTGCATTGTGTGTGTGTGTATCTGTGTGATTACAACATAAAGAAACCGAAACCTTGCAAATGCAATTAAAACTTTTAACTGTTCAAAATATTTTTTTTTGGTTGAAAAAGAAAAGAAAACACACAATCAAAAGTAAAATATAACATACATTGTCATGTTTTTCATCAAATAATGAAGAAAATGAAGATGGCAATAATATAAAAATACGTGAGAAAAATATTGAAGCTTGAAATACAATCGCATATGCCCAAAGTGGCTTTTATTTTTTTGTTGGTGGTAACCTTAACCTTCAGTTCATGGAAACATAAAAGACACTTAAATGCTATTGGCATATGAAGTTGTTTACAAGTGGAAATAAGAAATGTCATCATTAAAATAAAATAAAAATAAAATAAAGAAATGTCATCATAAAATTAAATAATAGGTGTGGTCCCAAAGACTTATGAGTTACATAGTATAATTTATATTCCTAAGAATCTGTTCAGGCACCATTTTATGCCTTGTAGCAAAAAATTTATCTGTAAAAAATTAATATAAGAAGCATTACAACACCTTATAAATAATTTATAAAACAATACAAAATTATAAAACTATAAAAAAAATCACTGCACATGAATGGTTTTACGACTGTGGGATGAATTTTTTCCTTTTTTGTTCCATTCTGGAAGATTACTTTTATTTTATATTTTCTCTGTCCTAGTTATACCCTCCCAATTATAGATCTCAGAACTGAGCAGGCCTTATGTAACCGCTGCCGGCATATATTTAAACATTTAGCATCCGTCATATGTTATCTTGTTAACTTCTTTTCTCTGGGAGCTTTTCTTGATGGAATTTGGAGCAGGTCCTAGGAGAATATAAAATTTGTTTTAATCAATGAAGTTTTGGGTTTCTGGGTTGTTGGTATTTGTGCAGTTTTTGAGGTGGTGAAACGGGTACCACGATGTTGTTGGTATTGAAGATCAGGTTAGCAGTGGTCCAATTAGCATCAGACTGGCAAAATGGGAACACCTTTACAAGTGACTAGTTCCACTTCCGGGATTTCTTTTAGAGTTTCCTTGCTGGTAGTCTCCTGATTGCTGCATGAATCATCTGAGGGACAATTATACTGTAGTATTTCCACAACCAGCAAAGTAGCCAACAGAAGAAACTCAAACCCCCAGGGGAGAGGGAATATGTTAGGGGAAGGAGATGGCATTTTTAATCAGCTGGGCAACTTGAGGTGGGGTTTCTCTTTTTTATTTCACAATTTACTTCTAGATAATACATGAGCATGATTATCAATTAATTATTCCTAAATATTTACATTCAGACAGCAAGCAGATTGACAGCTCTGTCTTGCCTGCTCCTTTAACGGAACTTTCTGCCTAGACTTGGAAGAAAACATGAGCGGCAGGTTCCAATCGCTCACCTGCACAGCCATCCCCACATCTCAGCACGTCCTTTTTGCTCAGTAGGTTATTGTGGCCCACAGCTCTTTTGAGTAGGTTATTTTTTTAGAAAGAAGCAATCCTCTAGTTCTAATAGTGAAGGCTATTCTGATGTGTTAGAGAAGGCCCTCCTATATTTTTTTCTTTTAATAAAGACACTTTCCTGTTAGGACTTCCTTTCCCCTCAAGAACCTGGCCTCTGATTCCAACTGTTTACATTTGCCTGCCACCTTTCTGCTCCATTAATAGATCCCAAGAATAATTGCTCCCCCCTGAAAAAAGTCTGCCATCGCTATTGCAATGCAAGAAATAGCAGAAAAGATAACATTAACAGGATACACGATGGCTTTTAATAATGTCTTTTTAGCCTGTTTCTGCGTGTGTGTGTGTGTATATGGGCGTGTGCATGCCATGTGTGTATTTTGACTGAAATCTTGAGACATTTCTTTGGCTATCAGACTTCTGAGAGAAATTGCTTTGCACAGAAGCATAACATAGATGTAAGTATTGAACCAAATGTGCAGCTTATGTTTATATTACAAAATTAGTTTTGGTCAGCTCTCCATGTACGTGGCCAACAGACTGAGAAAAATCCCAAGCTCTGGTGTGGACAGTGAGCACAATTACAGCTTATGTCAGTGTTGACAGTTCATTGAGCAAAGCCCTAGTTATTTTGGAGTCTCTTCTGCATTTCACTAGGATCTGAGTGGAAAAAACACTGTTCCTCCCTACTTCTGTGGCCTTCCAGCAGACCCTGGAGGCCACGTGCAAGGGAGATGGAGAAATGGAGGAAAAAAGAGAAATGCAAGCTCCATTTTCTTTTCTCAAACCCACAAGTCATAGTGAGAAGAAAGCAACGAATGCTTTGGCACACGATCCAGGATGCCCCTACCCACCCCCCGCCAAAAAAAAGGAAAGAAAAAGAAAAAAGTCCACCCTCCCCCCAACAAACCCAACAGTGAGCCTCACAGAATGGCTTCAACAATGGTACCCACCCCAAGGGCGGAGACAACAAATGGGAAAGATGAGAGAAATCAGGCTTCCTATTTTTTCATTAGTACAAATGTAAAAATTCGTAACACAACTTTACGCGCAGAGAAGAGTAGACGAAAGATCACGTCTGCAATGCCATGTTTCTGACTTTGGTTAATAGGTTTCATAGTGAATCAGCACTTAGTACCTGAAAGGATGCAGTCCTTCCTCCAGGTGGCAGGCTTGTATTCGCTTTGAACAGCTAAAAGTTTTTGTTTGTTGTTGGTTTTTGGTTTAGTTTTTTTTTCTTTTTCCTTAAAATGTGTTCATATTTTCATACTATACAGAAAAAAGTACGTGGTTATTTGGTTTGCTTTAAGTCCATTAAAAAACTGGCTTTGGGGAGACAGGTTGGGGACGGGAACTATCCTATCACACACACCTTCAGTGTGGTGTATTCCTTGTTTAAAAATTTTCAAAAAAATTTCATTTTCCTTTTTGGAAAACCAACGGACATGTAGAAACCATTCTGTCCACTTGGTAGTTTTCTTAGTCTTTTACTTACAAGGGTCACAATGACTGGGGCTATTTTTCCAATTTAATTTCATTGCTTTTTTCTTCTTCTTCTTCTTTTTTTTTTGGTGGCATTCCAAGGGTGGAATTTAGTTTCTGTGGATTTTGCTTCCGATTCCGGGTGGGCGTCTCTTTAGGAGTTTTCTTCCAGTGAGTCTGTTAAGGGCTCCAGAGGGACGGCCGTGGCCGGTTCGTGCTGTTTCAAGCGTTTAATTGTGTTCTTCAGCGCTTGCCTCTTATTGCAGAACCAAACTCTAACTACTTCCCGGTCATAGTTCAGCTTCTCAGCAATTTCGGTCATTTCCTGCCCAGAGGGGTGTGTGTTCTTCTCAAAGTGGGCATTGAGGATCTCAAGGGCCTGGGGTGTGAAGGAGGTGCGCCGCTTGCGCTTTTTGGACGGTTCGCTCCCGATAAACTCGGTCAGGTTCTGCATACCTGCGCGATGGCGGGCCTCAGCCTCGGCCATCCACCGCTCAAGCACCGGCTTGATCTTCTGGGCACTTTTAGGGGTGATGTCCAGCTTTTCAAACCTGGCAGGATACAAAAGGCCAGGGTTCAGTTTGGCTGTCAGACTGCTAGCTATAGTGTTCTCTTGGGCTTCCTGTGGTAGGAAAAAGTGGCTTCTCAGGATGGTGTGTCTGGGGGGAAAATTGAGAAAGAACAGTCTTACACTGAGTCCTCTGCCAGGGTGGGCCTCCTGCCTGCCTGCCTGACTGCCTGGCAGGGCGAATCCGCTGCAGGTTAGTGGCCAGCTGCAAGGCAGCCAGCCCCGCCCAAGCCAGCGCCACCCCCCACGTGCTCATGCCAGCGCATGCAGACGGCACAGCACACAGCACACACCACACACACGGGGCGGACGCGCGGGCCAGCCACACGGGCACGCCAGCGACTCGCGGGCCTTTCCCCTGCGAACGCTGAGGCCTAAGCTTTGATTTTAACGGTACCAGCTCCGTTTCCCCAATCGTCAGAATCCTGAAGGCAAAAATTAACGCCAGAAAGTGACATCAAAGACAAGAGTGGTCACCGTCTTTCGCTTAAAATGGTATGTTTTGCATTTGGTTTTCTTTAAGTTCCCCCCATTGGCTTGGTTATGAAAATGTTACAGCTATTATCATAGTCAGTGATGGCAACTGGGACATTCCTTTTATGGCCCCCTTTTTATCTCTCTCTTGTGTCTCGTTTTAACTTCTCTCTCTCCGGGGACAAACAATTTTCACCATATGTAAGTTAACAACATGCCCCTTTTCCAGGGGCCCAGTTGCTGCTTTGCTGTTCTGGCTGGAACAGCTGGACACATTGTAATTACTATGGAACACCCCACCCCTGGGTGTGCTAAGGCCACTTCATGCCTTCCAAACACCGTCCAGCGTGATGGTGTACTTTTGCACCAGGGCATCAAGCTGTGTTTAATGTGTGATATCTGCAAACTGTACTTGAACGATATCATTTTCTGTAAATGAGGTCTTCTATGTATCAATTGCCATCAGCAATTCTTTGCTACATTGACTTTAAAAACTATGAAGCATCTTGGACGAAATTATATAGAGTGTTTTAAGGTCATCCTGGTACCAAATTCATACTCACTCTCAATGAAAAACAAAAAAGTACCAATTCCTTTTGTTTGTTTGTTTTTTCTTTATCCAAATTCACAACCCTCAAGTATGGCAACTTTGGATATATAGAATTCTCCTCTCTCTTTTAAAGTGTTCCATGCTGTTGAAAACAACCTCTGACTGAGAGTGCATCTTATTACAATGGTCTGTTCTCACAGAGCTAAAATGAGCACGCATGAGTCAGTCAGAATATGTTTAGTAAGGATGCTTGCAAAGGGATGGAATGGGCCTTCTTTGTGTGCCATATTCTTACTTTTGGCAGCACATTTTAGGTCTCCTATAATGTGATAAGCAGCACAAATAATATTGAATCTTAATGCAATTGCCAGAGCATTCCCTCCCATGTAGAGTTCAAGGCATTATTTGTTTATCTGCTAATTTTTGAAAAACCCAACTTCCAGTACTGGTTAAGGAGAGGAGAAGTACATTTACTTTCAGTACAAAGTGAACTAATAATTTAACGTTATTTAATGAGCTTGTCATTTGTGGCAAGCTCCCCCAAAGCTCTCATTGTTGTGCTAATTTGCCACATACCACATTTTGCCATGATTCGCCATGAAAGCCCCAAAGCTTCAACTCTTGATAGCATGGCAACAGTCTTTACAGAGCCATGGCACCAGGGGACAGAGCTTGTGATAGGGCTCTCGAGTGCACTGGTGGCGTCTTTTTCTCTGTGACTCTGATAAGGAGGGACTCAAAGCAATGCGTAGGGGTCACTGCAGCTAATAAGGGACAAGTGTCACCTGTGTGCAGGCTCTAATGCAGATTCCTTCCTACCCTTAGAATTCACTTAAATTGTTCCTATGTAAAATCGTGGTCTTTCATTTTTTTTTTTTTCCCCTTGGTAGATAGCTCCTAAAGCGATCTCCCTGAAACACAGGAAGCTAGAATCCCAGCATATAGCTGCCTAAAGTCAAGGCATCTTACATGTTCTATTATCCTGGGAATTCCCAAGGTCTATGCATTTCAGCCACAGCTTTTTTGGCTCCCTCCTGGGGAAGACTTTAGAAATCAACATATTTGATTGGAAATGCCCAAGAGGTGCTAGGTATATGAGTTAAAACATTAGCTAGCACTTACATCAATAAAAGGAAATCACATTTTAGGACTAAAAATAAGTGAAAGAGGAATTTAGCACCAATAGAAAATTGGCAACAACTTAAAAACCTGTGGCTGCCTTTATCCCAAGGCTGTCAAGATGAAACAAAATTAATGTTTCCCAACAGGGAGCAAACAGTATTCATATCATTGATGCTGCTTGTTAGTGTTGATGCTTCTGCACATGTTGTTTGGAATAACATATACAAGCCTCGAAACAAATTTCTCAGCAGTAGTATCCTTGTATAGACTGAATAAAGGTTATTTTCTACAGGGAGGTATCTTATAAGAAAAAACAGTAGGGGAGGCCATAGAAGTGAGAGGATCCTATGGTGCTTTTTGTATTTAACAACAATCAATGGGTTTTATGGAAAATCATTGAGCAAAATGTGAGCTGCAAGCTACTACCCCATACTGATGTTATTTATAACCTTAGTCTTAAACTGCAGGAAAAGTACACTTCCGTCCTTTGGGGAATACATTAAAAGTATAAAGAGCAGATAAAAAGACAGCATTTCATGGATCACCAAGAACAAAATCCACTTAAATGAGTTTAGAGTTGGTTTCTTGGCTTTTCCTGATGGAGGAGGACTCATAAGGCATCGCCCAAGAGGAAAAAGCTCTTACCGAAGTGCCTTTGTTACCTCATGCATAAAC